CCTTTGGGAATCCGCCCTCCCTCACCCCACCCCCTGCCATCTCCAGTTCCGCCCCGTAGGGGGGGAGCCGCGTGGGACTTGTTTCTGAATACCCCAGAGACCTGCACCCTTCCCCTCGGCTGCCATTTCTCACCTGAACCTGCCACAAGCCTGCCACCGACCTGTCAGTCTAACCCTACCAGCCTTTGTTCTCACTCTCCTCTGCCTCAAACGGATTATCCCCAAAGAAAGTGGATCTCATCACCCCCGGCCCCACTGCCCACCGGAGGCTAAACGAAGAGTTACCTGCAGATCCTAGAACACACCTTGGTCTCCCCGGCCTCTGGACCTCACACACGCTTCTCTACCTGGGAGACCTTTCCCTTCCTTCAGGAATCATCCCGGGTCATCTCTTCCTAGGAGCCTTCCTGGAGGACCCTCCACTGCCCCTCGGCTTCCAGAGCTGTCCCGGCCTCAGCTCTGCTGGCTCTGTTTCGTCTGTGCCACCCCCACCTGCCAGGGAGTTCCACAGCCAGCACAGGCTGATTCATCAGAGTCCCTAGTGCCCCAAACTGGGTCTGGCACTAATTTGGCTTCTCTAAATACTGTTATTTAAAAGAGAAGAATGTCATTGCACAACGGTGTGGATACACCTAACACTACCTAACTGACACTTAAAAACGGTTAATGGCTGGGCACGGTAACTCACACCTGTAATTCTAGCATTTTGGGTGGCCGAGGTAGGAGGATCACTTGAGCCCAGGAGTTCAAGACCAACCTGGGCAACATAGTGGAAACTTATCTTAACAAATAAGTAAATAAATAAATAGAAATTAAACAAAAAGAGCCGGGCATGGTGGTATGCACCTGTAGTCCCTGCTACTCAGGAGGCTGAGGTGGAAGGATTGCCTGAGCCTAGGAGATCGAGGCTGTGGAGAGGTGTGACCATGCCACTGCACTCCAGCTTGGACAGCCGAGTGAGACCCTGACCCTTCCCCCCAAAAAAAAGATTGAAATGGTAAATTTTGTTATATGTATTTTATCACAATTTTTTTTTAAAGTAAGAGAAATGGTGCACGACTACAGTCCCAGCTACGCAGCAGTCTGAGGAGGGAGTATTGCTTGAGTGTTTGAGGCCAGACTGGGCAACATAAGGAGACACCATCTCAAAAAAAAGAAAAAAGTAAGAGAAATGTAAAGTCAAACCACACTGAGATACCACTTGTCATCTATCCAGTTGGCAAAATCAAAGTGTCTGTTAACACGCAATGTTGGCGAGACTGTGGGTAAGTGAGCTCCCCCTCTGCGGAGGCCAGTCTGACAGTGGATTCTGAGACACCAAACACACATCCTTTTTGACCCAGAAATTCCACTTCTAGGATTTTATCCTATATATGCTGACTCATGAACAAAATAACAGCAGCTCAAGATTGTTCAATGTAGCATGTTCCAGAAGATTGGAAACAACTGAAATGCCCACAAGTTAAATCAACTATGACATAATTTTATACAAAGAAATAGTCTGCAGCTATAAAAAAGGAGGCTCTTTTTTGCATTTGTATAGAATCATCTTCCCAGTCTCATTCTAGCTTTAAAAAGCAAGGTGCAGGACGGATGCAGTGTCTTGTGCCTGTAATCCCGACACTTTGGGAGGCCAAGGCCAGAGGAGTGCCTGAGCCTGAGGGGTTCGAGACCAGCCTGAGCAACTTGGCGAGACCTTGTCTCTACAATAAATCAAAAAATCTAGCCAGGTGTGGTGGCGTGCACCTATGGTTCCATCTACTTGGAAGACTGAGGAAGGATTGCAGCAGGTCAAGGCTGCAGTGGCTGTGATTGTGCCACTGCAGCCTGGGCGACAGAGTGAGACTCCAACTCAAAAAAAAAAAAAAAAGGTGCAGAGGAGCATTATAGAATTGGGTGAGAAAAAGAAGCTTATATATGTTTGTGCATATAAATTATTTCTAGGAGGCTGCACAAGAAAAGAGTAACTATGGTGACCTTTCAGGAGGTATGGCAGGAAAAGGAAAGATTTTTTTTCAACATACATACTTTTTGTATCTTGAGTTTTGTGCCATGTGCACAGGTTATCTATACCAAAGAATACATTTAAAATATATATATTTTTGATTTTTTTTTTGAGTTGGAGTCTCACTCTGTCGCCCAGACTGGAGTGCAGTGGCACGCTCCTGGCCACCGCAGCCTCCACCTGCTGGGCTCCGGCGATCCTACCGCCTCAGCCTTCCGAGTAGCCGGAATTACAGGCGCGCGCTACCACGCCTGGCTGATTTTTTAATTTATTGTAGAGATGAGGTCTCGCTGCCCAGGTGGGTCTCGAACCCGCGGACTCAGGTAATCCACTCACCTCAGCCTCCCAAGGGTGCGGGATTACAGGCTGAGCCACCGAGTCCGGCTGTTTTATTTATTTATTTATTTATTTATTTATTTATTTATTTATTTATTTATTGTAGAGATGGGGTCTCGCCAAGTTGCGCAGGCAGGTCTCGAACCTGCGGGCTCAGGCAATCCTTCCGCCTCAGCCTTCCGAGTAGCCGGAATTACAGGTGCGTGCTACTACGCCTGGCTGATTTTTTAATTTATTGTAGAGATGAGGTCTCGCTGCCCAGGTGGGTCTCGAACCCGTGGACTCAGGCAATCCACTCACCTCAGCCTCCCAAGGGTGCGGGATTACAGGCTGAGCCACCGAGTCCAGCTGTTTTATTTATTTATTTATTGTAGAGATGGGGTCTCGCCAAGTTGCACAGGCGGGTCTCGAACCTGCGGGCTCAGACAATCCACTCACCTCGGCCTCCCCAAGTGCTAGGATTACAGACTGAGCCACCGAGCCCGGCCTAAAATATATATTTTTAATTGTTTGCTTTGTTTGTTTTTGCTTTGAGGTAGATTTTCAGTCTGTCACTCAGACCAGAGTACAGTGGTGTGGTCCCAGTTCACTACAGCCTTGATCTCCTGGGTTCAGATGATCCTTCCACCTCAGCCTCCCAAGTAGCTGGGACTACAGGCACTCGTCACCATGTCTGGCTTATTTCTTTATTTTTTTTTTGTAGAGACAAAGTCTCGCTACGTTGCCCAAGCTGGTCTTGAATTCCTGGATTCAAGCAATCCTCCCACCTCAGCCTCCCAAGGTAGCTGGGATTACAGGTGTGAGCCAACACTCCCAACTTATTGGAGGGTTTTAAGTAGTGGATCCACATGTTCTGGCTGGTGGTTGGGAACTGGATCCTAGGGGGTAGGAGTGAATATGGGGTGAGCAACTTGTCCAAAGGGTGCTTCTATAAGCCAGGTAAAACATGGTGTTGGTTAGAATGGGAGGGCTGCACTGGAGGGGGAGGGAAGAGAATGGATTTGAGCTTTGTGTTGGAAATTGAGTCAACAGGTCTTTTTTTTTTTTTTTTGGTGAGTTGGAGTCTCACCCTGTCGCCCAGACTGGAGTGCAGTGGTTGCTCCCAGCCACCGCAGCCTCGACCTGCTGGGCTCTGGCGATCCTTCCGCCTCAGCCTTCCGAGTTGCTGGAATTACAGGCATGCGCTACCACGCCCGGCTGATTTTTTGATTTTATTGTAGAGATGAGGTCTCGTCAAGTTGCCCAGGTTCAGGTCTCGAACCTGCGGGCTTAGGCAATCCACTCCCCTCAGCCACCCAAGGCACGGGATTACAGGCTGAGCCACCGAGCCTGGCTGAGCCAGCAGGTCTTAATTTGGGGTTGGTCAGGTGAGAGAGCGGGAGGGCTCTGAGATGATATCCAGATTTCTGTGTTGAGCAGAACATCTAGAGGAATGGGGGACCATCTGCTGAAATGGAAAGACAGGAGAAGGAGCAGGTCCGGGGAAGGAGGATCAAGAGCTCCACTTGGGATCTATTGCGTTGGAGACGCTTTTGGACATAGAGAGACATCGAGCGGATATAGGAGGGTGGAGCTCAGAAGAGAGGTCTGGGCTGGAAATATGCATTTGTGAGTCACTGGCATATAGATGGTATTTAAAGCCATGAGTCTGGATGAGATCACCTAGGCAGAGAGAATATAGATAGCAAAGAGAAGGCCCGAGGCTGAGCTGGCTGGAGATAGAGGATCCCAAACAACAGTGAGGGTGAGCGAGGCTCCCGAGCTCAGAATCAGAGACAGGTGTACCCTACCGAGAGATGGACAGAAAGGAAAGAGAAGCGCCCATTCAATGTGGTAAATCAGGAGGTCATTGGTGGGCTTGACCGAAGGGGCTCCAGTGGAGCGGTGGGGACAAAGACAGATCAGAAGACTATATTAAAGGTGAGGGAGGCTGGGCGCGGTGGCTCACGCCTGTAATCCCAGCACTTTAGGAGGCCAAGGCAGGAGGAGTGCTTGAGCCCAGGAGTTTGAAACCAACCCAGGCAACGTAGTGAGACCTGGTTTCTACAAAAAAATTTAAAAATCAGCCGGGCATGGTGGCATGTGCCTATAGTCCCAGCTACTCTGGAGGCTGAGGCAGAAGGATCGCCTGGGCCC